AAAAAAATATTACCCCTGGGGTGGCAGCGCCCCTTTAAGCGATGTGAGAACAGGGGATATGTCAACAAAAATGCTCTCTCAGAATGCAGGAAAGCGAACAAATAAGCCGATACTAAGTTGTTAAATTTTTTCTGCCTCCGTTATACCCTAAAAAAACATATGTAAAAAAAAAAAAAAAAATTTTTGTTGTATCTTTTGTTTGTGTTTTGCAAAACGAGTATAAATCTATACTCGTTTTCACCACAAGAACCGTAGTAAGAAAAGTATGGCTTCTCGCAGAGCATTACTAATTTTCCTCTTTATGCCGAAAATTGAGTTATATGTAGGTGCATTTTAGATTAGATACACGTTATCTTATCAAGACATGCGCATTTCAAATGCCAAAAGCATTGCTTCTGCCTCCGGCAACTAAATCTTGTAAGAACTACTTTGTGCGGCGTATGAACATTGAGCAAAATTTCCTTTTTGCTTGAGGTGAAAACGGGTATAATGATAAGGTAAAAATTATTGGAGGTTCAAATTCTGAGAAGTTTGGAAACTTCCGAACTTCTCAGTGTAACTCCCGACATCTAGAACGCCAGTCAGGCTGCAAAATCAACACCCCTCACACATCTCCTACCCTCACTATTTGTGACTCCAGCGACCTAAAGGGGTCATGCTGGTCAAACAAAATGGCAGACAAAAGGAGATCTGCACTGCAAAAGCAATTGTGCTGGGAGTCTTTTTAGAAAGGAAGTTAGCCGGCCCTGGTGGGTGCTCGGTATATCCACTGTAGACGAGAAATTTAGCCGGTGCAATACAACTGCATGCCAGTACGACGCTTGTACAAATCGAAACTGGCAAAGGCTGAGATGTACTCCATGCTACAGTGCCCTAACACGATCAGCCACCGATCTCCCTCATATCAGCATCATGGTTTCCAAAGTAATGCTCGCAAAGCATAAGCCAATATTTTTTCTGTTCAGCTCGTTTTTTCAAAATTACACGCTCCTTTTGGAAATAGGACGCCAATGTTTCTCGAGGACCTGTTTTCCCTTTCAAGCGTGCCAACCTCGGCCCTCATTTCTTCGAGACCCCTTTGTTAAAGTTATTGGACTCGCTTTTGCCTCTTTCAGCACTTTCCTCACTTCTCTCTCGATTATGGAATGGAAGCCTCAGCACCCTTGTTTCACCCTTCGCAAAGTTTAGCGAAATCTGCCATCATTGAACGCGCAACTATACAAACAAGAAATGAGGAAGTGTCAAGTGACAGCAGCATCAGTGCAATTAGATGAAAAATTATAAATGTCGCAAAAAAGATTTGCTTTTCCAACCTGTAAGAAGGAGCAGGCTGGCGAGTCTTGCGAACACCCTGCTGCTGTCGCTGCAGGAGAGATGGTCGCCGCTTGAGAGGTCCTTCTCAGTTTGCGACGATACTGGCACTGACGGTTCTTGTTCAATGGCAGGCTGGTCTTGTTGTAGCATAGTGTCTTGATGTGACACATGATCTTGATGTGCCACAGGGTCTTGATGTGACGCAGGTCCTTGATGTGGCACAGGACCTTGATGTGGCACAGGGCCTTGGTGTGGCACAGGAGATGATGCCGTGCCAGGAACAGGATCGTTGACGCATCTGTGAACAAAAGTAGGGTGATGAGTTTTCGAAACCCTTCGTTGACACCGCAACCTTCTTTGGCAGCGGCAACAGCGATGCGATGGCTGATGACCCTCGCATTGAGAAACACTAAGCCTTTCTTGATGCGATGGTAATAGACCCTTTCCGGATTTCAGTCTGGCAACTTTGATAACTATCGTCATCTGAAAAATGGCATATGTGCTATACTAATGGCAGCCTCCTGTTTAGTGATGAAGGAAGAAGTTGAAGATACTCCTAAGCAGAGGACTCGATGCCTATACATTTTAGACAATAGCGCGACGTGAAGCAGGAATTGGATGCAAGAGCTGCGTAAGCGTTCATTTCTGACTCGGGCCCTGTCCATTTCTTAGTAGCACACTCGGCTTCAAACCCCCTTGATGCATAAAATTTTGTGAAGCTGGGCTGGCGCTTCGTTCTTACTGTTTGCATCTTTTCGCCATTGACAATGAAAGAGATTGGAAAAGAACTTCTTAGAGTGAAGCGCACATTCTCGTTTACCGTTGACTTGCGAAAGTGACGGTGCCCCATAATATACTGCAGACCACAGGTTCATTGCCGCCATTAGTACGGTAAAAGTTAAACTGCCATTTGAGTCACCAGATGGCACTGAATTCCGGAAAAGGTCTATCAGTCAATTCAAAGGGTTTTCCCGTTTGCCTCCCCCATGCTAGCCAAATGTTTTGCTGCCACGAGCGACCAAAAAAACTCCGAAGTCGTTCGTGGACACACAATGGACCCTCTTGAAAAGGGCATGGCATTAGTAGCTGCTGCGGCAATCATCCGAGTATGCCATCATTTAGGAACATACTGTGACTGCGTGTTGGACACGAGAGCTGCGTCAGTGTCGGGCGAGAACTCCCTGCTCAGCTCGTACCGAAAATAAGTACTGCGTCAGCATTTGACGAGGACTCAAATTCAATCGCACACTTCGTGCCAATCTTACTCAATGAGGTTTTGAGAAGGCATAAAAAAAAAGTGACATAAACATGCTGAAAAGTTTTCAAGACAGGCTATTTGGGAAACAACACAAGCACATGGACAACACGAACAGGCCCAAGACATGACACACAATTGCATTTTTATGCACGAGCAATATCTTTACGTGTTTGTGCAAAGAGCAGTTTACCCGGCATGCAGATGGTCGCGCTGCATACACTAGGACACCGACGTTCGAGTTACTCGAAAGGTTAAAAATTGACGACGTCACTCAAATGCAAGTGGAATGCATGGGATCGACATTGAAATTTCGGTTTTCTCTTTTTAATTTGGCAGGCTCTTGCAAGAAAACAATATAGTGTTATTTCTCCGTGGCTTCAAGAGCTAACGAGTAAGGTTTTTTCATGTTTGAACGCAAACTTTTATTCAGGCGAAAAAGAAAGCAGCCTGTAGCAGACGACACATAGCCTCAACAGTGCTCGGCACGCTGACAGCATTGCGTAAAAATGGCGGTCGTCTCCTTTGTGCCCCCCTCCTTCTCTCCCGCTCCTTCGGCGCTCTTCTCCCTTTCCTTCAATGTTCTCCTCTCCGGCGCCTTCGGCGCCACACCCACTGGCCAGACTCTCCCCATTTACGGCTCTGGTGGTTGGTCACAAGTGCTTTCAATCAACACACTTAAGGTCAGTGAAACAATTTCCGTCAATGACGCGCTCTTATTTTCGCCCTATCTCATCAATTAATGACCACTCCCTACATATACGGCTATTTAGTGTACCACGGTTCTTCGGCTGGCGCCAGGGGCGCTATGTTGCGCTTTTTGGATTCCCAGGAGACTTGGAAGAGGGAAGTGACGTCAACGACTAGAGCAAACGCAGATTGGATGTTGACAGAAGAAGACAAAGTCAACGCCCAATCTGCGCTTGCTGTGTCGTTGACGTCACTTCCCTCTCCCTAGTCTCCTGGGGTGCTATGTTGCGCTTTTTGCACTCCCAGGAGACTTGGAAGAGGGAAGTGACGTCAACGACACAGCAAATGCAGATTGGATGTTGACAGAAGAAAACGAAATCAACACCCAATCTGCGTTTGCTGTGTCGTTGACGTCACTTCCCTCTCCCTAGTCTCCTGGGAGTGCAAAAAGCGCAACATAGCCCCCCTGGGAGTCCAAAAAGCGCAACATAGAACCCCAGGGGTGCTATGTTGCGCTTTTTGCACTCCCAGGAGACTTGGAAGAGGGAAGTGACGTCAACGACACAGCAAATGCAGATTGGATGTTGACAGAAGAAAACGAAATCAACACCCAATCTGCGTTTGCTGTGTCGTTGACATCAATTCCCTCTCCCTAGTCTCCTGGGAGTGCAAAAAGCGCAACATAGCCCCCCAGGATAGCGCTCCCGTGGGATAAGACACAGCTCGTGCGTCCCGGATTAGTTTGGTGAGCACTGTGCCTGAAACCACTGCCGGTTACTCACGTACCCAGAGGGGATGTCCAGGGATGCCCTCTGACATTCGGCCGTCACCACAGTGGAAGGAACGACGTCGGGCAGGTCCCGTCGTCCCCGCCGCTTCGCGTCTGCCTCGTGCTCCCACGACTCGTCGCCTTCGGCCCGCCGTTGACACTGTCTCTTCGTCTCTTCTTCGCGTACTTGGCGGTCTTGACGCCTTCGGCGCATACGCGCTGCCTCTCGCGCATGATAGTCGGGGTCCTGCGCCCTTCGCTGTTCTCGTGCCGCCGCGGCCCTCAGTCTACTCTGCTCAGCGCGGCGCGCTTGCCATGCCCGCTCCTCGGACGGAGATCGCATCTTGCGAGGTCTGGCCATCTCTGGGGAGGGAGAACTTAGCGAGCGCTGTGTAAACGTGCCGGAAAATCTTCAGGTTACATCAACCGCAACAACCCCAGGCAACGCAGGTCGCGCAGGTGAAGCTGGTCCAAGCCGGCCCAACGAGTCCAAACCGTCAGTCGAAACTATTCGGTTTTCCTTTGCACAACGGCACAACGGCACAACGCACAACGGCACAACCGCCTCTACCCCTCTACCACAGCAGCACAACAAACTTATCTGGGATGCGACCGGAAGATAGCAGAAGACAGACAGAAGCATGAAGAGACTAGCAGTAGCGCCAAAATGTAATCCGTGACCGGGAGTACCCTAACTGATAGATGCCAGTTATCACGAGTTACTCTGTTCATAAGTTCATAAAGTTAACATAGAGGTGCGGGTTATATCAAAAAACACTCAGCACATATTTTGTAAAAAAATATTGACGCCAACAAGCGGCGCAAGCGGCCCTCGAGGCGTTGACGAAGCAGAAGCCACATGAACATAGCATGAAGACCAACATGGCGCAGCCCGTTTGCGTGGTGGAGGCTGGAGCGTGCAGCTGCGCAACTTTTGAGCCTTGAGCAGGTTGCAACCGTGCGACTGTAACCGTACAACCGTCGTGCTCTTCTCCTGCGCGACCGCGGTAGGTACCGCTAGAAATTTGCGCTCGCAGCTCGCGTGTTCCGCTTCCCTTGTTGGAAGAATGCTATTTGTTTGTATCCCCTCTCGTGCTTCCCGCGTCCCAGAGAAAGGAGAGAGAGAGAGAAGTGTTGAAAAGAAAGGAAGCCTGGAACACAGTAGAGCACTATATAGCTCCTACGGAGCAGAGTAGCGCAATCCTTTGAACTCCGTGTTTTGCCGACAACATGGCCGACAGAGCGGCTCGGCGCGAGTCACGTGGTACTCAGGGTTCCAGGAGGCGGCCCGCCCTATGGGAGAATACATGGAGATCGACACAACACGGCTGATTAAAAAATGAACGGCGAGTTCACACTTTTCAAAACTAGTCTGTCGTGAAGTTAGTAAAGCACTAAACACTTTATCAAAGTTTTAACAATATCGGATACGTGTGGAAATTTTGAGAAGGCAATTTCCAAGGCAATGGCGTTTGAAGCAGACGATTTTTGCTCGCAGCGGAGATGGGCTTTTCGGGTTGGCCGGAGCGGGTCACGTGAATGGTGTGACGTCGCAGTGTCGTCTGCTGCATGATGCCGCTCAGGCAATTTTTTAAAAAAAGTCAGGTCCTTGCGGGGCACAAAACTTAGCGCAAATTATTCTAAAGTGTTCCATTATTATGTCAAAAATGATTGCGATGCCGTACGTTCCCACAACACTGAAGAAACAACGATTTTCTCACGTTCTCCATGCATTTTTGACCGCAGTTGGAACCTCCTGGCGTTCGCCGCTAGTCGCCGAGAGGCGGCGTTCTAGATTGCGCTACTCTGCTCCGAAGGAGCTATATAGTGCTCTAGAACACAGTGGCCTGGAACTTATTAACCACTAGAGCGACAAACAGTGACACGCGGGACGCCTATGTTTGCACGTCGCCAGGGTGCAGTCACGTGACAACAAGGATCCACCTTTCTCTCCCTGCTTGTGGTTTCTTTTTGTAGAATAGATAAATGGACTAGTTGGTACATCACTGAATGGAAAGCGCCGAATAAACAAGGACGAAGAAGGGGACAGAAGCGAAGCGCACTCTCAACTGAAGGTTTATTGAAACAAAACTCCTTATTTGCCAGACTCCCCTTGCTCTCATGTGGCATGCCTCATGTATTTCTCGCGCTGTTTTGTTTGCGTATCTGCCCAGAACTGTTGTTTTTTCCGATTCCGGGCCACATGGGCACCTATCACAGTGCACCTATCACAGTGCACCTCAAGATTGCCCCTCGGGACTGTTTCACTGACCAGGCATGTTCCCTAGCCCTCTCATTTATGCAACACCCCGTTTGGCCCATATGCGGAAAATCGTATGTGGGCCAAACGGGGCATTGCATAAATGAGAGGGCCAAGGAACATGCTTGGCCAGTGAACAGTCCTGGTCGGGCAGTCTTACAGCGCACCGTGATAGCTGCCCATGTGGCCTGGAATTAGAAAAAAAAAACAGTTCTGGGCAGATACGCAAACAGAACAGCGCGAGAAATACATGAGGCATTCTGCGTAAGAGAGCAAGGGGAGAGTGTGTGTGTTAGTGCGCCGTCACTGCACTTAAGCTTAACAGATAACGACTTTTCTTTTTGTGCCAACACCCAGATAGACGGTTGTAATAGCCAATGTTTGTTTCAATAAACCTTCAATTGATAGTATGCTTTGTCTCTGTCCCCTTCTTCGTCCTTGTTTATTCGGCGCTTTCCACTCGGTCTTTTTTGTGGCCTTTCTGCTTGCCCGTTTATTTTTGTTTCTTCTCTATTTGTTTTAGAGGGGCGGGTGGAGAAAAGTTTTGCAAAATGAAACCACGTCGGAGTCTCACACGCAGTGTCTGATAACGACGAAGAAGCCAAGCAAGGTTAAAACAAAATTTCTTGTGAAATAAACCGGGAGAAAAACACACCTGAATTGAAAGAATAATAAACCCTGGAAATGTATAGGCGAATGCTTTGTACAATTTGTAGAGAAGTCGACGCCCGATATTCTCCATTGCATAATCGTAGCTTGGGCTACTGGTTTACCGCACGGTGAAGATATAACAACAAAATATGTGAAAGCCAAAAGTGAAAGCGCAAGTAGAAAAATAAATTTGAAGGTTGGACTCGTTAGCTTGCTGCATATCGCCGCACACCGAGATATAATTCTTTGGTCACACCTATTCTCCGAAAAACAATTTTATGTGTAAAAACCATGGAAAATACCACATCTGTATTAAAAAAACATGATTGTTAGACCCGCAACCAGAAACAAAGTTTTTGACTGCTTTGCCGGAAACTGTACGTTGGCACACACATCACATTTATTTCAGCGCAATGTCCAAATTCCAACTTTTAGCAAAAAAAAAAAAAAAATGTGCAGAGAAATGTTTTGGAGTGAGGAGAACACAGTCAGAATAAAAACAGAAACTGAGAAGAGGGGGGAAGAGGGTCACGTGATCCCTTTTGTCACGTGGCTGTGCCCTGACCACGTGCAAAAAAGGCGTCGTGCAACTATGAGCGGCAAGCGACACGAATTTGCTGTCCCATCTGGCAGACATGACGCAAAACAAGGGGACAAGGAAACCCGTTTCCTAGTGAGACTGGAGTTGTCAACAAAACGCTTCAAAACACACTGGCAAACGGAGTTGGGCAACGCGGTTTTCGTGCTTCGCTCTTTGGACAGAAAACGCGCCGACAAACGTGGTGAAAGTAGAGACGATTAATTTATTTCTTGATTAAAGCTCCCCTTTGGTCTTGATTTGCCATTGGCGACTTTCTGCAGACCGTCGTGACTATGGACACCCAACTTTTTCCAAACGAATTCCCGAACCCGAAATGTTTTGAGCATCGCGAAATTTCACGCCGATTTTGAGTATGCTTTTATATCCAAATGATCGAGGACAGGCGTATTTTGGGGGACATACAGCATCCCGACTTTCACAAATTATGAGTCTCTTGCCTGCCGGAGCGTCGTCTCCTACTTCGTGTTCAGCGGTCTTCCTTCCAGTCCTCCAACGTCAGCGTACCCATCCTGATGCAGGGACGTAGACCTCGGCACCTTGAAGCATACTGTCGAGGGACGGGAACAAGTAGGAAGCCCAGGTGGCCGGCAAGACCTTCTCCCAAGTCCGAGCAGCTGAACAAACCACAGGAGGAATGGAAGGAAGGTTGGGAAGAGGGGCAGCGAGGATACAAGCGGGCGGGGAGGACAAGTTTGTCTCCGATAGATGTTCCTCAGTGGGACAGCTCGCGGCACTTTGAGTCAGACGACAAAGAAAAACTTGTCCGTCGTCGTTTGTTTGTCGATGCTTGTCGGCGGTTGCCAGGGATATTTGTCGCTACAGTGGGACAGGATCAGCGACACAGAACTTTGCGGTGTTGCCGGACAAAAATCCGTATTTGTTGCTCTAGTGGGACAAGGCTAGTTGCGCGTGATTTGTCGCTGCCTGTGGACCAAATCTTTTATTCTCGCTGAGCTGTCGGCATCTTCGAGAAATCAACGGGTGTGGCATTTTCATGGTCGCAGCACGTTTATTCAATCATTTGCAGGAGGAAAGGTAGTCGTTTATACTCTCACTTCGGAATGACATTTATGCGCTATTAATAAAAATAATAAAGTTTTAACAAATCTTTAAAAATAATTATTATTTGCTTAGGAGAGGGGCTGCACCGCAGGAAGGCAACAACCCCACCTCGGAGGCCCGTGGGACGCCTTTTTTGCACTTTGCTAGGGCGCAGTCATGTGACAACAGGGACCACACGAGCACCTATGTGCCCCCACCTTCCCGGCCCAAAGTTACGGTTTTTGTTTTTATAGTGTTTGTTCTCTTCTCTGCCATTTCTCTCTCCCTAGCTTGTGATTTATTTTTTGTGGCCTTACTGCTCATCCATTTGTTTTCTTTTTGGTTTGTTTTAGAGGGGTGGGTGGACAATTTTTTGCAAAACGAAACAACATTGCTGGAGTCACTCGCCCAATGTCGGATGACGACGAAGAAGCCGTGCTCCAGAAGTATGTGAAATATCTCGACAAGGTCGGGGAATCGTGGACGGGACACTTGGAGAAGGAAGATCTACTTGAGCCTATGGAGCGCGAGCTCTTAACCATAGGTGTCTCCTTCAAGACTGTGTCCTCCAGGCTCCCCAAACTAGAAAGCTTGAAATCCAGGTAAGCCTTCCTTTATAAATTTACTTTTACCTTTCAGAACTTTCTACCCGCTAACGTGTCAGCAGTGCCCATAATCCGTGATCTTCAGGTGGATAATGTGCTTCGATAAAATGAAGATAGTTGTGTTCATGTTCATGTTACACTGCCACAGATCGAAGTCTGCAATGTCACTATAGTATTTGATTTGTTTGCAATATCGCATGACGGCCTCACCGCGAGCGCTGTCGGGTAAATATTTAAATTGGATGAGTCCACCATACGTGTGACCCTTAGGCGACCAGAAATCCTACCTATTTACCAGTAGGTAGTGTCGTGGGAAAAAGTGTGCAATCTTCAAAAGGTTATTTTCTTGACCGTCGTTGAATCCAACTGTAATCAATGGTATATTGAGGTGGGGTGGGAGTCTGAAAGGTGAACCGAATAATGTGGCCTCTAAGATGTGCACGACTAAAGTAAGGCTCGTGACCTTTATTATAATTGTTATCAATAAATGGTAGAAACGTAAAAAATAAAAATAAGGTCAAATATAGTTTAACATCTCTTAGCTTTATCTATTGTGTTTTTTTTTTTTTTTTTACATTTGTACCATTTTACAAGAAACTGCTCGTTGTAGACTTCTCAAATGTGATAGGCAAAAAGTGCCATATTTTTTACTGTCTATTACTAAAATTTAAAAAAAAAAGGAAAAAAAAACTAAGATATAATTCTTTTATTATTCTGTCAAATAAAGACACAATTTTCTAACACCATATTTATAAGATTGACACTAGTTCCATGGAAGTTCAAGGTATAAACAAACAAAAGTGTGCAAATTATTAGATTGAAGTTGATTGAATCAGCTAATGAAAAAGATACATGTGCAAAAAAAAAAAATTGTAAATGAAATCAAACATATTTTAGCTTACATTACTATTTTTATGCATCTGCCATTTACCAATAACGATTGTGTTAAATTGCGCAAGCCTAATTTCGGTTACAATAATTTTAAAGCCCATTTTATTAGTTTCATTTTCAAACTTCACTGCACCTTAATTTGTGGTGTTTCATGGGAAATAGGCTAAAACCTCTGGAATTTTCTATGATGTGTTCACTCATAATTGCCACACGTTAGTATCCTATTATGCCATAGACGCTTTGTATGAGGGTTGGGCAGGGAGGCTATGTTGCGCTTTTTGCACTCCCAGGAGACTAGGGAGAGGGAAGTGACGTCAACGACACAGCAAACGCAGATTGCGTGTTGATTTCGTTTTCTTTTGTCAACATCCAATCTGCGTTTGCTGTGTCGTTGACGTCACTTCCCTCTTCCAAGTCTCCTGGGAGTGCAAAAAGCGCAACATAGCCCTCCAGTATCGCGATACAAATGGGTCCATATCACAAGAGCAAATGACATTTTAGCGAACGGCGACATTTTAGCGAATGGTCGTTTTAGCGAATAACGGGGGCGCGCGTTAACCCATCCGTCGCGCTGCGCTTTACGCCGCTTCGCGGCGACAGTCTGCGGCAACTCATTACAAAAATATGAACTCATTTGGCCCACCCGAAAACGCCGCTTCGCGGCGTCCGACTATTCGCTAAAGTGTCGTTCGATGAAACGTGGGCGTTCGCTAAAACGTCATTCGATCAAGTGAGTGCCTCCCAGTATTTCACAACTACTTTTAGCATTTATATTTCTGTATCGCGATACAATTTTCCAATCAGTTTTTGATTTAAGTATCGGAATATATTTTCGGTGTATTCCTTGTATCGCAATGCATCTCGTTACAATGCTCAATAAATAAGTGACCCCCAACTGAGAGCTGAAGAGACTGTTTCCTTTCTTTCTCCGTGCTTCAGGGGGGTAGAAGGTGCAGTAAATGGGACCTTGAGACTTTGTCATCATGCAGACCAAGGTTTGTCTCAAACATTATGACCCTGAGATTGGAGACTCCCTTATTCATTTTCCAGAGATAACACGTCTTCTGGGGTGTTTTAGTTGGGCAACTGTTGTTGTTGAACCAAAACGTTGAAGGTGCTGTGTGTACGAGCTTTACAAGTGTACATTTTCTAGAGCGAGCGTAAAGTTTCTTTCTTCAGATCATCAAATAAACAAACATTATTTCAGTTCAAGGTGACATCTTAGAATGACTGCAGAAAAGGCAGCGACACGGGACTAGAGGGTGCTGACCTTTCGGTGATATTTGGATATATTTAAAACGAATTTAGAGGATCATATGATATTGCTTTGAATGCGTTCTACATCTCTAAAGGAGAACTGCACTTCATTCAGGATGGAATGTATTTTCAATCCCATATTTCTCACAGCTTCATGTTAAAAAGAAAATTGCAATTCTATGCGAAACTGATTTCGGGTTCGTGAGTTATTGTCTTCACTGGGGGACTTCTTTTTTACCTTAAAAGTACAAACCCTGTCAGCGAAGCCTGCATATTACTACCTCCAAACAAAGTCTTCATATACATAAAAAAAAAAAAAAAAAATTGTATGGTTTTAAATTTTTTTACTGTGAAAGCGGTCTTCGTTTGTTTTAATATAAACCCGTGTTCATTGACACTTGTGGACTGCTTAATCTTTTTCACTATAATATAACTCGTTGCCCAAATCAACAGCGGCTGCCCGGCGGGTTCTTTAAAAAGTTACTTCTCATCAAATGTATAGAAATAATGGAAACAGCGCGCAAACGACAAGGACGGGAGGAAAAGGAGTACACAGGACGAGCGCTGAACTGACAACTGAATATTTATTGAAAAGGACCCAACGAAGGAAACACCCACAAAAAACACACTCGCATCAACACGTGTCCATGAAAGTAATCTCCTTCTTATGTAAATACACAGAAGTTTGACTCACGCAGTTCTGTTCCCCCTCCTTCTTTATTCCATACGCTTCTAAAATTTCCCTGGCTGTTTTATCTGCTCCCCTCCCCATGATTGTGATCTTATTGAAATCAGGATGACATTTGCATGTTCCGCAGTGCAGGGGCAAATGCCCTCCTGCTGTTGAACGAAGCGACCAGTCATGTTCGCGTGCCCTTTCATTTATGCAACGGCCCGTCTGTCCGATGTAAACTCTTCCACAGCTTAACGGGATCCTGTACACCACTCCGATCGCACATTCCATGTACTTCTTTCTGTGGTGTAGTGTAGTGTAATGTAGTTGAGTGTAGCAGCAAAGTCGTATGCTTACTTTTGTTTGGGATTGCTTCCATAAAAAAGAAAAATGGAATATGTAGCAAAAGGTTGTTTCTTTTTTGTTTTCTGAATCGTAACCTTTTGCCAGTAGTATATAAAATATGAGAATGCAAAAATATATATATATTTTTTTAAGAAAAATGTATTTGAGCAATAGTGCCCTGGCAAAATTAAAATTCCTGTATTTGTATTTCCAACTACTTTTTCATTTTTCAAATGTATTTCTGATAGGTATCATGACACTTCAGTAAGGAAAGTATTTCATGTGTCAGTATTTTAGCTGTCTTTGTCATGAACCGAGTATTTGTATTTCCAAATACATCTTCACTGCCCAACCTTGCTTTGTATGCCGTCTTTTTTAAACAATCATTGGATAGCGTTTCTATACAATGTGCTAAATGTTACAAATGTTGTTCTAAAAAAAAAAAGTACACTATTGTGAGCTTCGACAATAACACCATTAAGCTTTCTCCTGTCTTTTTAATCGTTGCAGGTCGACTTCTTTTCTCCTTGGACAAAGGTGCTGTGCCAATTCGCCTGGATGTGCCATTCAGGGTTATCTCGAAGGTACAGAAGGAGTGTCTCTTTGGCAAGGACCGGCACAAGACCCAAGGAGAAGGAGCAACTTCAATGGTCAATATCGTTACTGAAATGGTTTTAATAATTATTATAGCAGTGTAATTATTATAGCAGCAGATTCACCTCTTCATTTTACACAAATGTAGTGATCAGAATTACAGTGTTGTTCCTTATGAGGAGATAGCAGTATAATCATGTGTTAATTGTTTAATCACGCAGCTAATTAAAACATAAATAGTATACGCCTCGCAAGTGGGCTAATTTTCGTCTTCTGCGCATGAGAAAGGAAGTAGCGGTGACGTCAGAACGCCGAGCCCTGATTGGCTGATCGCGACCCCCTATCCGAGCGTCGTCTGCTCCTTTGCAATGTCGTCTGCTCGCAACGTCGTCTGCGTCTGTCTTACCTTCCCTGCGACTTTCGGAAGTGCAGGTCTTTACGAGCGAGCTCGACTTCGCCTTTCAGAGAGGGCAGACGAAATAACTCGAGCGGTACATTGTTTTTGTCTAACAACTAGCAGACGCACATCAAGGAGGGAAGTCAAAGGACTCACTGGCGAGGTGTCCCGAGGCGCCGAGGTTTATTTGCTAAGAACCGAGAGTAAGCGTGTTAGTGCCCGCAAGTTCCCTCCCAAATACTTTTTCCCTCCTTTCGTGTGCGGCGAGACCCCTCATTCTTTAACGGCGTCGGCGGGTTAGCGCAGTTAACGTCGTCTGCTTTACGTCTGCTAGTCAAAGCGATGGCTGCTTACCTTTCCTGCGTCTGTCGAAGATTCACCGCTTTTTCACCGGCGAGTCAGCGCTGCCTCGGGAAACAAGGAGATAACAAGAGGAAGAAATTGACCTCTTAATCTAAAATTGATATCAGCGGTCAAAGTATAATGCGGAAAGGGTTCACAAGAGGTCGCGCGGGCATATTCCAATCAGCACGCCAGCCGGTCGTGGGCAGACGGTCGCCGAGTCGCGGAGTGCCTGCTAGGCCTAACTGCCGTACTCGCTTGGTCGTGTTCGGTGGAATCGTGGCCGTCGGAGCTTTTCCCGGGTGTTTGTGGATCCAGCGTTCTTGTTCGTCGTGGTCTGTTTCAAACACTTTTTACTTTTTTCTTGCTGCTTGAAGTCTAGACGCATGAAAAGCGCACGTAAAAAAATAAACGTCCGTGGGTCGTCGCGACCGCGACGCTGTCGGCCATGCTGATTTGATCGTAAGAAGTGCGTAAGACAGCTTCGGAGGTGCCGTAGGATTTCGTCGTAACCTGCGCAAAACTTACGAAAATTTCGTTTCGTGAATACGGATTTGTTTTTAAGTTATGTCTTACGCACATTTTTGGCGTAAGATCGTTTCGTGAATCTGGCCTCTGCACTTCCGAAAGTCGCAGGAAAGGTAAGACAGACGCAGACGACGTTGCGAGCAGACGACGTTGCAAAGGAGCAGACGACGCTCAGATAGGGGGTCGCGATCAGCCAATCAGGGCTCGGCGTTCTGACGTCACCGCTACCCCCTGCGCAAGAAGCAGACGAACTTGCCCTCCGCATAGTCATGTGTTGTTTAATCATGCATGCCAGTGCATGGTGGCGGAGGAAGCTTCATCGTCGGAGATGGTGTGCGAGAGCTCGAACAGGTCAGTTTCCGGTTAGATGACTACGTTTCTGCTCTCACAGCCAGTCCCGTGGTAAATGGCCATCTATTTTTTTTTTTTTTTTTTCAAGAGGTTTTACATTCATACAAGCTTTCATCTCTGCCACACTTTCTGCTTGAGAATAGTTCTTTACAATAAATCTAACTGCAGGATTTTGAATGTGCTCTATCTTTTCTATGAGATATTTTTGATGCGGGTACGTCCCACACTGCGCTTCCATAGTCAAGGTGTGGTCTAATACCTCTGTCAGACGGGCACCTAAAAGGACCTTTGCTTAATGACATTCACACTAAAGGTCCGTTGGCGTACGCCAACGGACCTTTAGTGTGAATGTCATTTAAGCAATGCCACACCCACGGTGGAAGAAACATTTCGGTGTTGACACTCTGTCCGACGCGGCGACCACATTATGTTGAGCGCACCGAGTGCTTCACTCGCACGGGAATAGATGGCGCCCAAGTATCGAGTCCCCGGAGTCCCCTAGATTGTCTCAATGTTGCTTGCCGGCTGCGCGGCACTCTAGGGTCCCCCCCAAATTGACCGCTCTGGTTGTTTCTTCTAGCGGTGGTCCCGCATTCCCTCGCATTCCATCGAAATGTGTTCCTTGCACCGTGGCCATACGGCAATTCAGACGGCATTTAGCGTAAAGGTACTTTTCGTGAACCTGAGTTCCTGCAACCCCTTTACGGCTGCTAAAGGCGTACTCTCGTCAGCAGCGGTCTAAACTCGTGGAGCGAATTGAAATAAAAGATCGTACTGCTAAAATCAATGTTTTTGTATATTTATTATTAAAAAAAGAGTGTGTGTCACATATATTCTGTACAGACCTCGCTCACGACCCCAGGCTGCCCAGGCCTCGCCGTCCTAGGGAGCCTTCATGAGCGCTTTGCTAGGGTGATGCCAACCTTTGTAATGCCGCTCGCCGACAAACCAGCAGCCATTTTGGTTCTTGGCGATAATCCGTGGGGCTTATAATCCTCCCGGAAACAAGTACCTTATCTCACAAGTTCGAAGCAGCGTTGCGGAACCTACGGAGGGATGATTAGCATTTTCCTCCTCGGATATGGGAGGACCGATGGACACAAAGGCCAGTTTCCGGCGCACGGGGAAACAATAAGAGGATGGTGGTAGAGGGTGTGAAAAAGGGAAACAGGCAGTTGACATCACTCTATGCGAAGCGCACATGAAGGCACCCTAAGTCGTCCCACTGCTCGCCTGCTCGCATCGTCCGCTTCGACCATAGAGATCATACCACTGATCTCAATGACAATTGCTGGATCGCGCTTGCCGCTCCCGCAAGTGAAGCCACCGGACTTCACTCGCTTGGGATACGATTTGCCGTTTTTGCTAGCCTTTGCTGGGGTTTTCCAGCGTGCTGTAGACACGTTTTCTACTCGTTCGTCGTCATTCGCCGAAGAAGTTTTTTGAGACTCTGTGTATTGTTGAGACTTGCCGTTGTGAACACGTGGAAAATTTTACGAAAGTGCAGTGTCGCAGGAAAAAGGCACAACGCGTCGAAAGGAAGGGCTGGCGGCGTGTTCAAAGCGTCCTTGGCACGCCGAAGTGCCGTGTCTCTGTGCCTTCGCGCGCTTGGATACCGACCAAGAACCGACGCCGTGTGAATGTGTTCAGCGAGTGCAATGTGCGTGAAGCCGTATCAAAAGGTACAACTCGTCGAAAACGTGTCGCCGGTGTCGCGGCGTGATCAAAGCTTCCTTGGCACGCCGAGTGATGCATCTTTGTGCCTTCGCACGCTTGGATACCGGTCAAGAATTGACGCCGCGCCAAAGTTCTGAACGTGTGTCGCGCGTAGATGCCTTTAGATCATTTATATATATCGGCCACGGAGTTCTGGATCGTCCAGCTGTTCCGGTGAGTTGCTATCAATAAAAGGAGGAGATCTGTACGTGTTCTTATGTACTATATTAACCATGGCTATGTCCCAAATCTACTCTAATAGATTCCGTGGGAGCACGAATAGGGCAACGTTGTGGAGCCAGGGGGTTTTCGAAAGCAAAAGTACAAGACGGCGAGAATGAAAATCTTTGAAGCGCGGCCGATATGGTCGTGTGCAATCTGTTGACCAATTACAATTAGGCGAACCGCGCTCAAACGTCAAGTGCAATTAAGTAGGTTGATAATAAGCCAGCACTGATCAGTGATGAGGAGCTGTTGTGCACGGTATTGTGTAAATCGTCTAAGGACGAAAAAAAGACGTACCTTCCCCCCATCTTCCGTCGCTAGTGGACGCTGGATTAAGCTCGTTCCTAAACCGCGAGGGGAAAAGACACTGATCCAGAGGCACGAACAGCTTCACGCACATTGCACTCGCTAAACACATACACACGGCGTCAATTCTTGGTCGGTATCCAAGCGTGCGAAGGCACAAAGATGCATCACTCGGCGTGCCAAGGAAGCTTTGATCACGCCGCGACACCGGCGACACGTTTTCGACGAGTTGTACCTTTTGATACGGCTTCACGCACATTGCACTCGCTGAACACATTCACACGGCGTCGGTTCTTGGTCGGTATCCAAGCGCGCGAAGGCACAGAGACACGGCACTTCGGCGTGCCAAGGACGCTTTGAACACGCCGCCAGCCCTTCCTTTCGACGCGTTGTGCCTTTTTCCTGCGACACTGCACTTTCGTAAAATTTTCCACGTGTTCACAACGGCAAGTCTCAACAATACACAGAGTCTTCAAAAACTTCTTCGGCGAATGACGACGAACGAGTAGAAAACGTGTCTACAGCACGCTGGAAAACCGCAGCAAAGGCTAGCAAAAACGGCAAATCGTATCCCAAGCGAGTGAAGTCCGGTGGCTTCACTTGCGCTGCAGCGAACAAGCGGGGAAGCGCGATCCACTGATCTCTATGTCTATTTGCTGGATCGCGTTTGACCAGCTCCTCCTATGGACCGGAATGCGGTCACTGGCGGCCATCTTTAGGTAGAGTTATATCATCTCTAGCCATCATAGTAATATGGCGGACAGCCCAATGGCGGCAGGCTGCCATAAAAATAGCCGTAGATCTAGTACACTGTACCGTGGGTGACATTTCGTGCTTGATTGAAGTTGTTCGACGAAGCAGATTCTTGAAACCCGGCGTGAATGGTAGCCTCATCTTTGAGGACCCGGCAAAAGTTCTACGAAAGCGCAGCACCGGGGGAAAGCAGCGCAGCTCGCATCGAAAGCAGACTCTGTACTAGGGGTGTCGCGAACTTTTGTCGAACCAGATTTTTTGGTCGAACTTCCGGGGTTCGACGAACCTTCGAACTTTTCACCAAATTCGACCGGTTCGACTTTAGGGACAGTGTGGCCAGACCTTAATACAAGCATGTCTAGGTTTGGAGAATTTTTTTTTATGCAAGGGGTTATTTTATTTTGTGAACAGCTGCAATTAAAAGAAACTAATTCTAAT